ACTCGTGAAAGATAGGTTACTGTAGAGCATGAGGAACAAATTGTAAATATCGTGGAAATCAATGCAGATATCAGCACTCGGGAATTAGGCCGCCGCGTAGGACTATCGCATACCATAGCCCATAGAATCCTACGGGGGAAAACTTTCTTTATCCTTACCATGTACAACGAGTGCAGGCCTTGTTATCAGAAGACTATCCTAGCAGACTAACATTCTGTCAGTGGTTTTTGCACAAAAACATTGAAAGTACGGATTTTTTTTAAAACATTCTAGCGACGGACGAATGTACTTTTCTGTAAGTTGTCAGGAGAAGGATACCTCAGCTTTCTAGCCAATAACCTACCAGAACTTTTGGAACAGACCTTGGACAACATGCCATTACAATGGATACAGAATTGGTGGTTTCTTTATGACGGGGCACCACCACACATTTTTACAGGTGTCATTCAGTATTTGAATGAACATTATCCAAATCGCTGGATCGGTCGAAATGCTCCTGTTCGTCGAAAATGGCCAGCAAGATCTCCTGACCTCAATCCGATGGATTTCTGGTATTGGGGAGAACTTAAAGAGATGGCTTATGGGGCTGGTCCAATAACAATTGAAGCACAACTTCGCGAATAAAAATTTAATGCGGCTGAAATAATAAATGGACAACTTCGAGGACCTAGAGTAAGAAGAAACTGGGCCCGTCGTAGTGAAGCTTGTGTGGACAGTGGAGGACGACATTTTGAACACCTTCTTTAAATGCAAAAAAGTGCAGTGTTTGCTTTAAAAAGATAAACAATGTATGTATCAAAAATGTGTTCCCTATTTATAAGTGGATTTAATACGTTCTTTAAACTTTCACATACCAGGTGAATCGCTGAGACAGTTAGTGGTAAGTCCGTTTTTTTTATTTGCATTTTACGAGTACATTATCAAATAATGAAATAATACCTAAGAGCCAATAACAAACTTCATCTTTATTTACACTGCGTTCCGTCGTAATTTGCGTCTAGCATTGCGGCGTTGTCAGATTTTATTTTACTTTAAAGAATCTGAAATAATACTTCGTTGACATAAATATTTGGGAGAAAATATCGAGCTGTATATGGGATACTAAGGCGTCATCTATGAGAATTTGTAACAGCTATGTTTCTCCTGATAGATGAGGCCCTGGTGTCTCATTTCATCTCGGATAATATTTTTGATGCTGGAATACAGCATTAGGTTGGCTAGGTAGAACGCGCTTCCAGTGTAAATACTAACGTATCACAGTAGATACTGATTGCGTTGCATGCGCCTTATGTTTATTATTATTATATTGCCTTCTCGCAATACAAACAACTGTTTGTTTGGAGTGACCATAAATTTCAGCTAAGCAGCAAAAGGCAAAATGTACTTGCCCACATTACTTAGATTATTATTTATCCCTTACTCCATTGATAGCTGCCTGTGTTCGAAGATATCCTTGAAGCTCTCAATTTTTATGATACAACTTAGATCAAGTTATAATGTGGCCAGTATACACCAGTCACTTAACTGCGTTACACGGTTGACTTCCAAACACGGTATTACAAAAACAATACTTTTACGTATTCAATGCAGACATCTTTATTTAATTTCGCGGGTTCGTTAAGAGCATATAAATGTCGATAACGGCCTTGGTAACAGGTACACACCATAAATGCCGACTGGCCGACAACGACGTAGCGCTGGACTTATTAGCGTGAGCCCAGTTAGCGACTGTGAGCGGACGTTCTCTATACTTTGATCTAAAAAGTTATACCGGCTTTTTACACAATCAGGGGAAGCTTGAAGAATTTGGAAAGGTTTTAGATGCTTTTTGCCTACGGCACTAAATCACTTCAATTGAATCCGTCAGTGCAAAAACCTCATATGTTCCATAATTTGAATTTTTCAGGTGATAGTAAAACAGTGCCACTACTTTTTTTTGGACTTGATGTTGTATTTGAGCTCCAAAAAATGTAAAATTCGAATATCCTTCCTAACCTAATAATAATTGAAAGAGCCCGAAAGGTCTTGCGAAAATCTGTCATGGACTTCCGTTGTCTTAACAGGAATTATGACTTAAGGAAAATAATCATAATAACCATATTTTTCACGGCTTATTATTGAAAATTACTTTAAGATATTAGCATGCCACATGATTCAATTTTGCGTGTCTTAATATTTTTAAGGTACATAGGGAAACCCTGACGAAGCGAATACCTGGCAAAGAAGAATTTCCCGCTTGAGCTCCATGCCATGGATCTACCATCGTCAGAAAATGCATATACTTATTCATTCAACTTTCTTCAATAATCAACAATCGGTTGTAGAAGAACACATGTGCTTATTCGACCACCAAGCATCAAAATGTATTTTTTAAACAAAAAAATGGACATTACAATTTAGGTGTTGTGTGCGTAATTTCATCTTTATACTATCTATACGAACAGCTATTTAAAATATTTAGCATATATTTAAAGGACCTTCTCAGTCATAATAAATGTGGGGGACTGAGTCGATGGATTTGGTAGGAAACAAGAAGACTCATAAACAAGCGATTTCGGGCGAAGCAGATAAGGTCTGTAATCTTACTTTCGTAGTTAGTGAATAGAACATTTAAGATATTGGTGCATATAGCACATAAATATGGAAATAAACATGTCAATATTGCAAGAGTAGGAGATGCATCCAAAAATAACAAAAAATGTTCCTATAAACGTAGGTTGAAATTAAATGAGCTTCCTCCTCCCCCTGAGAGGATTTGCTGCTGGAGCACATGATCATTGCAATAACCCATCCCGTGTGAATGACGATAGTGGCATTCACCATGCACAGATCACGCAGGCCACAATAGTGTGGAAGCGATTGCTGACTGTAACGTACGACCACCGACGACGACGCTTGTCCTGCCCGGGAACCCCGTCGTACGTATCGACACCCGACTGTATGAGATATTTTACGGGAAAATGTGCGGGGACATTTATAATGAGTAAAATATGCCTAATATGTGCGAATAAATATACCAACTTAAAAAAATTGAAATACATCCTCCCCACCCCCTGCAACCCCCAACCTTCAAGTTTTAGCCCCTACAATTTTTTTAAGAATGATCAGGATCATTTGATACGTCAAAAAATGAAGGTTGTGCGATTCTTATTTTTTTGGGGCCTTTTTCTCCGCCGCCACTAAACAGGTTTCCAAAAACTACATAGTTTTTGCGTCCATGCACTGCGTAAAAGCTTCATCGAAATCCGGGCGGTACTTCTCAAGTTATAGGCGGTTATTAGATTGGCGGACAGACCGACCGGAATTGAGTGACATGATTTTTCGGGATGTACATCCAAAAAACATATCTCATTTTCTACAATTTTGGCGATTATAATAGATACTTCCCCGCCAGTAAGCGTGGGAAGTAAAAACGCCATAACCAATACATACAAACATTCTCGGGTTGGTGAGTAAACCAGTGGAATTGGGAAATATTGACTACTACAGAAAAAAAAAAGAATACTTTTTCGAAGTCACTGACTTTTTTAACATTAATTTTCATATTACATTTTTGAATAGGGCCTTCAATTTCACATGAATCGCTTCTTTTAAAAAATCTATAAGCATTTTAGAGATAAATTGGTTTGAATATTTGAGATGAAATCCATATAGAAAACTTCATCCGGTTCTACTGTCACGATATGCTGACATATGCTGACATTGAAAATGGTATGTAGTGAATTAGGAGAGTGATCCATCGCGATATTTGAACAATATTTCTATTTGATCATCATTTGGATCAGTGGAGTAGAAATTTACAACACCCAATATCCTTGGGAAATTTTTATTATTTTTTGATTATTTTATCATTTTTCGGTGCATTTATATCTGACAGACCTCACTTTTGAGGCAGTTAAAGATATAAAGGCTATAGGCTCGCAATTTTTGTAAATAAGAGTTGTAATTTCCGAATCGCTATGAACTTTAAAATAAAGTAGTTTTTCGATAATTGTCAAATAACGTTACGCTTTGAATGAAATAATGTGCGTGGGAGCGATGGTAGTCAGATTGACTTGAATTGATTCTTTCTAGACAATTGTTCAAGCTTATCACGCGGTGTTCCCTGTTTGATTTCAATTTCATGGGCAAATAATTATAAACTCAAATGCATTCAATTACAAAAATTAAAAAGAACATGTTTTGTAAACATCATTTGCCAGCGAAGCCAGGTTAAATTAGATAATCAGATATACACAAGTTATATTGTATTTTGCAACTTGCGGTACTTCTGCATTCAATAGAATGCTCGCTCCTTGTTAATTACCTGTAAATTCTTGCAATGGAATAATACAAATAAAAACGAAACTACATTCGCTCTGAGGAAATTGCAGAAATAACAAGAATCAGCCTTGCTTAAATTAAAGGATTGGAGCTTAATTGCCCTGTTAAAAATCTCTTCGGCTTTAATAATAGAAAGTATAAAACGAATGAATGTCTTCTTCATCCGATCCATTGTTAAGCTTTAATAGGTTATGCAGAAGTACGATGCTTCACGAGGCTCGGACTACTTAATTTTATGGAGAACAAGCCTGTCTTCATGATAGATAGCCCAGTCATATTCAGCAAATATAGCTCGCACACAAAACTACAACTTATAGTTGTTTTGACGGTTTCTTTCGAGCTACAGTGGAACTGCTAGAATCACTTTCATATCTTCATTTCCCTCATACATACTCTAGTCATATAACTTTGAGAGGTTTTTTCTGTATAAGCTCGGAGGCATTCCTTTCTTCAATTTCGTCTCACCGCCTTGAATATTTTATGCGTATACACTACCGTGCAAAATTATAAGGAACCAGTCGAAAAAATCAATTTTTTGCGTTTGTGATTCGTTTTTCTTCATCATTTTGTGATCGAATCTTGTATATAAACTAAAAAAAGACTATTTTGTCATTATTTATGTTTATTACCAAATTTCTTATAAAGATGTTTAAAAATAACGAAGAGATCATGAAAAGTCAAATTAGGTTTTTTTCATCAATGTGTCCACGTCGTGCTTTGATGATTGCAGCGCATATTCTTGGAAGCCTTCTGACCAATTTTTGAAGTGTTTCAGTCGCGATACTCTCCCAACACACTTTTAGACTGTCGAACAACTGTTTTTCACTGGTCACGTGCATGTTCTTCACCTGCCGGTCGAACTCATCCCATAATAATTCGATCGGGTTGACATCAGGGGATTGCGACGGCCAATCCATGATTTTGAGCACACCTTCCTCTTCCTTGGACCGCAGATAGTTCATGCACAGAGGGAAGGTGTGCTTGGGATCATTGTCTTGTTGAAAGATAAATCCCTTGCCGATCAATGCCAGGTGGAATGGCACTTCGTTGAAGGATATTGTGATAGTGTTCCTTCCGCATTATCCCTCCGACTTTAATCAGTTTTCCAACACCATCATAGCTAAAACACCCCCCCCCCTCCACCATCACGGAGCCTCCGCCATGCTTAACAGTTGGGGCAACACATTGGGGATTAGAACGCTCATCTTTATTTCGACGAACATACTGGCGTCGCCTAGATCCAAAAACCTCGAACTTTGATTCGTCGGTCCATAACACAGACTTCCACTGATCAAATGACCAGTCTTCATATTTTCGAGCAAACAATAATCCTTTCCCCTTGTTTTATGGGCGTAGAAGTGGTTTTTTCATAGCAACGCGACCAAAATAACCCTTTTCTCGCAAACGACGTTTGACAGTATCCACCGGAATTGGGTTAGTCAGGGTTTTGTTGATTTCGGCACGAATATCTGGTGCTGTTTTGAACCGATTTTGTTTGCTCATCAATAAAATGTGTATATCATCAGCTTGGAATGTTTTTTTGGTGGTCCAGAGCGTTTTCGATTGAAATATGAGTTGGTTTCAGCACACCGCTTCAATGTGGTTTCCACTCCGCAACAATATTTGCAATTTCACGAATTGTTTTACCCACTTTTCTCAAAATTAATATTTGTGAACGTATTTGAAGTGAAATTTCCTTTTTTCTAACCATTTTCAGCAAATATAATCGGTTTCGCGCGTATAAATAACGATGGGAATTAATTTGACAGTTCTACTACACAAGGGACACAACAGAGGACGCAAAAAGCTGTTATTCTTTTAGACACGCACTCAAACGATCCAGAATGACTGTTTAAGGCACTAGCGTCCATATTTGAATACTTCAGAATAAAATTATTATACTTGAAATATGAAATAAGAATTTTTGATTCCTTCATAATTTCATCATTTTGACTAATAATAATTAGCTAATATAGTGCAAATGGATATAAATCATAACAATATAGTCTGTTTTCTAATTTATATAGAAGATTTAATAATAAAACACAATAAAAACCAACCACAAATTCCAAAAATAGATTTTTTTGATGATGTCGTTATACTTTTGCACGGTAGTGTAAGTGTTCTGAGACTATGCTTGACACTGTCAGTGTTACAAATACCTTGTCATGGGAGTGCGATTTGTGATCACCTCTTGTTGATCTCTGTTAAAAAATATAGTAATGCCTAGAAATACAAGTTTTGGTTAATGTCGACAGTTTGTACCAAAATTGGAGTATTACCAGAAAGTGAATGAAAAGAATGGCTCTTATTACCCACTTTATGCGTGCAAGAATGAGTATCTGCTGTGTTTAAGATCGGTTTGCGCTGTGTGCATTTTCTCTTAGAATTTCCAAGGCATGAAATTTGATTGTTATTTTACTAACGCCATCAAAGATCCAAAACGTGATCGGAAGTTCATGGCATTACTTAAAAACAATATTTTATGTTAGTAAAAGCGTACGAAATCGCAGGTATATGCTTGACGGTCACAGGTTGAGTGGGGCAATGGCTGGCCGCGCTGGGGCTGGCTTGACGTTGACGGTGGAGATTTGATAATTGCGAAGACAGTTGATAGCAAAATCAACCATGAGTTCTCGGATAAAACCATGTAACCTTCATCGTATTTCACTTAGTAAGCGCACATTTTTTACCTTTCTACGTATTAATGGTTCAGACGTAATGCTGACAGACGGGACAGACATTCACATTTACCCTTCCCACTTCAGTTGGCCCAACTATTGAAATCTTAGTTTTTTTCTTATCAAACACAAATAATAAAAATGTAGCAGGGTGTTATAGGTTTAAAATATATAGTAGAAAACACCAACTTTGTCACTCCCTAATCAAATTTGCAGCATAAAAATAACACATGTCGCAATTACAGCATAATATCAACCTATTTTCATTTCAATCCAAAATAAGTCTATAACGCATAGGTGGCTGTGAAAAATAAAAGCCATGGCAATTGTTTTTATTAATCACAGCTGTCAGAATACGTTTAAAATAGTTTTGGGTAGTTAAGGTTTTCAAAATGGGTAGAGGAAAGGTTATTAGTGAGAAAATTCGGTTACTGATAATTAAATTTTTTAATTCAGGGAAATCAAACTCAGAAATTGCAACTTTGTTAGACTTATCGCGGTACAGTGTGAGGAATATCGTTAGAAGATATAACGTAAATGGTTCAGTTAATATTAAGCCACGATATGTAAAAAAAGTAATATCACAAATGCTGACCGAAGAGTATTAAGAAGAATAATCGTGAACGACAGGCGTGCCAACTATTTACAATTAAGTGCTCTGTGGATTGACGCTGTTGGAAGGAGAATTTCGAGGTCCACAACTCATAGAGAGCCCACAAACTGGGATTTAGCACTTGCAAGGTAAGTTTTCTTATAAAAAAAGTGAAGTAAAAACCCTAAAGTTGCACAACTTGTTTATAGGCCAAAGAAAAGCCCCTATTAACTCCACTGCAAAAGAAAAATTGGCTTAGATGGGCTAAAGAACATAGACAATGGAAACCTCAACAATGGTGTGCAATACAGTGGAGTGATGAAGCTCGATTCGAAGTTTGTGTTGGTGACAGTCGCAGTATAGTTATTCGCAAAAAAAATGCATTCCATGTTGACTGTCTGAACAAAAAGTGTAATTTCCAGCATCCATTATGGTCTGGGGCAGTATGTCATCAAAAGGAGTAGGAAAACTTCATTTTATTGATGGAAATGTGGATACAAACAAATATTTGGCAATTTTAGAAGAATCGCTTTTACCAGTGATGGAAGAATGTTTGACATCCGGCCAAGATTTTGTGTTTCAGCAAGATGGTGCAGCGTGCCATACCTCAAAAAAGGCTATACAATGGATGGAAGAAAATAATGTACCACTTTTGAAATGGGTTTCTAGCAGTCCAGTTTTGTCACCTATTGAAATTTTGTGGCACGAGATGAAAAAGGTTCTACGACAACATCCTGCTCGTACAATCACCGAACTGAGATAAAAGCTTCAAGGAATATGGGATTGTTTTACACCAAATTTTTGCCAAAACTTGGTTAACACTATGCCCCAAAGAATTTCAGCCGTAATAAAAAATAAAGGTGATGTTACCCAATGGTAATCTTTCAATTGTTGCTTTGTCAACATCGCGCATATATTCGCACATTGTTTATTTGTTCAGATGTTCTATTAGTTATAGGTCTAAGTGATTTCAAATATGTACTTTTTACGACTAGAGTGTATCTAAAATGTTTTTGAGAAAATAAATTGTTTTAGAAATAAATAGTTTCGTCATGTTTAGTTTATAAAGGCATATTTTGGTACAAATCTTGAAGTGGGCCAACTGAAGTGGGAAGGAGCTCGTATATATAGAGATGGAGTTTAGAAACTGCAATAAGAATTATGTTACTACTCGTATATAATATGAGGCCGTTCAAAGTTATTAGCTTATATACAATGCCAGTGGACAATCGGCAATTGTTGAAGAAGTCAATAAGACATACCGCTGGTATGTTTGATGGCGATCAATCTTCAGTGGACTATGAAGCTTGGATCCTTGCATTCTATCTATAGGTATTTCAGTTTTGGCGGTTTTTATAGATCACACGCAATTTTTTGGAATGATAAAATAATATTTTTTTAAAATCTTCCTTCGCTATGTATCTTCGTTAAGAACTAGTTTTGCGGAAATCGTAGAAAGACAACACAGACTTGAAATAGTCCGTAGAATTATTCCTGGTATTTTTACTCCGTTATTCGAATATCGGTTTGTTTTATTTGAAATATCACTGATATATTGAGAATTCGATGCGTTTAAACAATAAAAATGTAAGGGCACCTTCATAATTTTACCGCAACAAAACACAGTTGCTCTCCGCACAAAGCTCATTGAACAGCTGCCTGTGGTCGTATTTTTAGAGACATGCTTGCACAAATTGTGTGACAATAAGGAATCGAATTTAATGGCGGGTTAAAATAAATGTTGTTGCTTTCGCTAAACCGACAAAGGATCATGAACGACCGAGAGACTCGGAATTTTAGAGAAACAATTTTATTCGAACAGCTGTTCAATGGGAGCAAGTAAGTCGCACTCAGTGATTTGAGCATTTTCTTGGTAACGTATGTGGGACATTGTTACGGGTATGCGTAGCTTCACGTAAATAAAAAGTTTTCCATGAATAATGAAAAGAGAACGCTTTTTCCGATACATTATTTCCATACAAAATATTGTAAGTGTACTTTGTGCCGGTGTACAAGTAAGAGTAACAAGTTTTTCACATTTTACCCTTCTCAGGGGGCTGGAAATCTAAAAGAAATTTGGAGAAACTAGATTTCAACTTATATGTGTGTTTGTCGCAAAGGAACCATTAGCTCGATAAAAAAATTGTTTTTACGAAGAAAAATGTATCCGGTGGAGATAGACTCGAATCAGCAAGTATGTTGGATTGGTGAATTTTGAAGCTATTGATTAAAAAATGCATTTACACTATCTATAAAGGTCGGTTAAGATACGTACGAGTGCAACTTGGCTGTCATTGTACTAGATGCAGTCCGCATACACTAGTTTCGCTTTTTTTTTCAGGACAAGGCCAGTTAGAAAAAGATATTTCTATTCAAATTTTGTCACAGTAGCGATGTTTTTCGTACCATACTGGTTGCGAATACTATTTGCACACACAGAGATATATAAATATGTATAATTGCAAACAATAATTCATTGATTCATCTAAAAGCCCTTTTGTTGATGGTTTCGGTTGCGGAAAAGGAACTATTTGTTTTTGATATAGCATATTTTTTCGATCACCGCTCATTATACGAAAAAACATATTTTCGAAATAAACCACATAACTGTATATTTTTATGAAAGGATCTCTTGAAAGCAGAAAATAACACGTCGAATAGGTTTGACCTCAATGAAGCATGCAATTTC